CTATAAAAACTAACCGATCGTTTCAGCCTCTGGCCGTGGGTAGGGGTAGATAAACCCTTAAAAGAGTGATGAGGAAGATTATTGGATAATCAAAGCTGGCACTCGTGGAGAATAGAATAACTATGAGAGGGATGATGGCTTCACAATTTTACACGGTGAGGTATACGAGTGCAATCTTAAAATGCTTTTATTTTGCAAATGGAGCATTTTATTTAAAAATTTCAAAATTAAAAAACTTAAGGACTACTTAATAAACATATAACATAGAAAAAATAATTTCTTTTCAGATTTTTAGGTGTAGATATAGATTTCAGCTTTTCTACAACTGTAGCAACAACCAGATTTAAATAAAATGATCCATTTGCAAAATAAAAGCATTTAAAGATTGCACTCGTATAACTCCCCGTGGAAAATTTTGAAACCATCATCACTCTCATAGTTCTTCTATTCTCCACGAGTGCCAACTTTGATTTGCCAATAGGGAGAGAAAATATTGGAAAATCAAAGTTGGCGCTATGTATACACCAGTGTTGGAAAAGTTCGCGATATTTCACGAAGTTCTCCAAGGGAAAAGTTCGCGAGTCATAGTGATTTTTTGCGAACTTTTCCATCACTGGTATACACCTAAAAATCTTTATTGTATGTCTATTGGCAAATCAAAGTTGGCACTCGTGGAGAATAGACGAACTATGAAAGTGATGATGGTTTTAAAAATTTTCCACGGAGAGCTATACGAGTGCAATCTTAAAATGCTTTTATTTTGAAAATGGAGCATTGTATTTAAATCTGGTTGTTGCTACAGTTGTAGAAAAGCTGAAATCTATGCATACACCTAAAAATCTGAAAAGAAATTATTTTTTCTATATTATATATCTATTGAGTAGTCTTTAAGTTTTCTACTAACGTAGCATTAACCAGATTTAAATAAAATGCTCCATTTGCAAAATAAAAGCATTTTAAGATTGAACTCGTATACCTCACCGTGTGAAATTTTGAAACCATCATCACTGTCATAGTTCTTCTATTCTCCACGAGTACCAACTTTGATTTGCCAATAGGCCTTTTTAATAAAAACTAAGCGATCGATTCAACCTCTGGTGATGAGTAGGAGAACGTCAAAAAGAGTGTTGTGAGCAGAAATTTTTGCCGTGAGACATAGGAAGTGGAATACTTTTTCACTTTTCCTGATAAATTGTTTCATCTGAGATGCTTCAAAACTTAATCTACAGCTGAAAAAGTTAATTCTGTATCGTTTTTGCAAAGATCCTGCTGGTGTTGAGGAATATGTTCGTTGAGAAAAATTGAAAAATAGAAAAGTGCCTTAGTGGTTATAATCTTCCGGATTTCTTGTGTGCGAATAGTTAAGGTACAAATCAGTTCATATCTGTGGAAAATCGTACAATAAGACAATAGCTGATGGAAATTGACAAGATTTTGAATGAAAAATGCTTTAATTTGCGTTGTGAAAAATAGTTATTCTGATGTAAACAAACGGTTTGGTTGACGTTTCTTCTCGAACTCGCGTAGCGCACTCTACGTTGGTGGTGCATTAAAAAGGCCTATTGAGTAATCCTTAAGTTTTCTACTAACATAGCATCAACCAGATTTAAATAAAATGCTCCATTTTCAAAATAAAAGCATTTTAAGATTGCTCTCGTATACCTCACCGTGTAAAATTTTGAAACCATCATCACTCTCATAGTTCTTCTATTCTCTACGAGTGTCAACTTTGATTTGCCAATTTTCACATTTCCTGATTCATTTATCCATGGTAGGGGAAATGGATGTAATGTCGGCCTAAATGCCCCTAATTTGGGCCCATACATAAATTCAACAATCGACTAAATCCATTAGTACCGTCCCAATGACGCGTTCATCTAGATAAAATTGATAAATAGCATATTTTTAGCGATGGGCCCAATCTTAGATCCATAGACCAACATTAGAGCCATTTCCCATAGGTGCTGGAAATCGTCATCCACATGGAATATTTTGTTTTCTATATCGATTTTGCAATGATCCGGCTGGTGCATATTCAAATGTTTGTTGATAAAATGAAGATTTCTTCATTCGTCAAATAACAGGTATAGAGATTTTCACGTCCGGTTGTATGGGTGCGATATGTGAGAGCGTGTCAGTGAAAATCCGAGGAAAATACATAACACATAGCTGTCAAGCTCATTTGGCAGATCTAATTTCATACATTTTTTAGGTTAGTCAAAGGAAAATACTAAGTAACTTTACACGGCGATGCACCTGCTAGTGTGTGTGTGCTAAACGTCACTAATCTCTATAACACATGTCAAGCTACTTTTCCACCGACATATCTACTTGACGACTTCACTTCGACGCTGCGTCAGTTCGTCAATTTTGATCAGATTCAAATTTGACGCTGACGCTGACGCAGTATTGTGGGTCCCGCTTGACGCAATATTGTGGTCTCCGCTTTCACGCTAACTGAAAAGTACCCATTAAATGAGTACCTTGTACTCATTTTTTGAAGTTATTCAAAAATGTCAAAAAATGGGTATTTTCGAAAACCGGAAAGCGGGTACTTTTTCCCCATTTTTGAACATATCTACTGCAATTAAAATGGGTAAAAATGTACATTCAATTATTGTCAAGACATCTTTGGTGAACTGGAAGCGCAGAGTGTTTTATCATTTTTAACAACCAAATGTTATGAACATTCTTGAATTTCATGTGCATCGATTACGTGACGATACGACGGAGTATGAAATTGTGTTCCAACCGAGCCGACCGATGTTGATTGACGTGAAAATGTTAACTTAACAACAATGCTGCGGCTGCGAGTTTTATTGTTTCCGTCACTTTCCATAAAAAATCTGAAGAACAGCACAGCATTCCTGGACATGATCTGATATCGATTGTTACGAGGTAAAAATTGTATGTGCAATTATGATGAAAATTGTATTTGTTCCAAATACGTGTTCCGTTTCAGGTTAGCGATGATTTTCAAAGAGGAAGAAATGAAGTTTACAGAAGGGTCCGAACCATCTGAATGAGCAGCAAACCTCGTAGACCGATGCCCAGTGGATGCTATTGATTATTTGTGTGATTACTTGTGCTAATAATTATGTCCAATAAAGAGTATGAATTTGTTTTTATAGGATTTCAGGTTTTCTTAAAGGAATACATCGGTTTGATGCCAGGTATTCCCATGAAGCAAAAAGCAAATCAATAAAATGGGTACTTTTCATACATTTCGAAAAAAGCAAGCAGGGTACAAAATACCCATTTTTGACGTATCTGTTTAATACTCATTAATGAGTGAAACCGGTTTTACTCATTTCATGAGTTAAGCCACTTTTCTTGAAAATGAGTAAAATTTTACTCATTAATGGGTACTTTGGAGTTAGCGTGACATATACACTGTTAAACAATGCCATACACTCTATATCAATTCTACTCAGTCACGTAGAATTGTATTGCCCTCTCAGTTGTTTTTATCTCACGGAAATTTTACTCAGTTGCAGTTCAAAAAGGAGTTTACTCAGTGACTAAATAAGTTTCCCGTGAGAGAAAAAGAGTGGAAAATACAATTCTACTCAGTCACTGAGTAGAATTTAAATAGCGTGTAGCTACCGCTAGCGGCTATAGAAGGTTAAACCATAGAGGTAACTCTAAGACAAGAAGGTCCCAAAATAACGTGCTCAACTTTTTGGCTCAGCTCTGGTACTCTCTTCGGTCCCAAGCTAATCGATTCACCCCTCGAAACATAAGGAAAACCAATAACCCCTCATTTTATCTGTCAATCTTTCATAGCGAATCAAAACAAACATTGCGTAGTACTAGAATTTCAACTAGAATAGGGTACGTTAATCGTTTGCTTGGGACCAATAGGCTAGTCAAGTGGTGAGCCAATTTAAAATCGTTAGTTTCGTATTGATTGTTGGTTAAACCTGGTTCAAGCGCAGGTGAAGAAATCGGTCCTTAGATATCATTTTTGTTATGAATACTGTTAACTCGACCACTCGGTTGTCAAATTATGTTTTCATGATCGATTATATCATAATATCAAATCATTCATTCTCTACTCGGCTTGAGTTTTGATCACGCATACGAAAATTATATTAATTAAATAATTGAAACCAAAATGCACTGACAAATAAGATTGAGTTCATAATTTGGAAATAAGTTCTAGTTTAGTAAAGCACCAAGGATCGCTAACTACAGAAAACTAGGCTGATGCGCTGAAAACTAGTATGAAATAATTAATTATTTCACGCATTTCATCTTAATAAACACATACATTTGCATATGTAACCATACTGAAGATTCTTATATCTGTTATGCTACCGAAAGACGCAAAGCAGACCCATTTGAATAGGAAATCAAGCAAAGATGCGACTGTTAAGGCTTAAGCGCAATGACAGCGGAAGCGGAACGGCAGCGGAAAAGCCCGATCTGAGTAAGCGTATTTGTCGAATTGAAAGCTAATTAGTATCAAATCGACTTCGGTTAGACATCTTGATGTCATTTGTGAGAACTGTCAAACTTACCGTTTCCGTTCCGCTTCCGCCCACATTGCGTTTGGGCCTTTATGCTCTTTTGAGCAGTCTGCCTTAATTAAGATTTCAATAATGCAAGCCTTCATTCCTCAATGTTGAAACAACAGATCGCGATCACTACTACTATAGTAGCCCAAAATATGCCACAAGGGTTAATTTATACAAATGAGTCAAGTTTAAATAGCGATGAACTTTGCCAGGCCACATATTAGAATGATCGTGAACTTAAAAGCTGCGTATAAACCGAGTAACATATCTTCATTGAGCTCTCACACACTTTTTCAGGTCTGCCAATTCGTCTGAAGGATGATTGTCGGTTAAAACATGGAAAGCGAAAGACACGACTAATATTGTAGCACATGAATTGTTAATTGATAATTAAAGCATGGTTGCAATTAGTTGAAACATCATCATCACACTGGACATCTCTGGTGTCGTTCCTATGAAATGTGTCATTTAGAAACTCACCCTCGCTACCATTAGGTTTATCGGCAGCAGCGGCCAAACAACGGGGGCAGGACGCAGTCTTATCAACGCTATGATCCGGGGTACCATCTTTGAAAACTGTCCGGTTATTGCTCGCTTTTTGGTGTACTTCTAGTATTATAACGATTACAAACTTGTTATTCAATTCTCTCCGAACACATATATATGTGATTATCCAACAAATTAGGGTGTGGCTTATTTTTTAGTGAAACATAGGAAATTATCACATAAGCTTCAAATAAGTTGCTGTTCGACATATCAGAGGAATTTCTGCTCATACCGAACAAAGACTAGTACTTCAAAAAATAAGTTTAATAAGTCCTACCCTAATGTGACTGCACAAACAATGGAATGAAATGTTATGAAGCGTTATGCTAAAAGCAAACTCGTTAAATTATTGCTCAAAACGCAGATCAGCCGTATACACTTAGAAACGATTACCGACTTCGGTCATTTTTACCGAACTTTCAACAGCTAAAAATTAGGTATTTTAATTCATTAGTTTTGAAGCCTTCACCACAATGGCAAGACTCGATTATTTAAGTAAGACTGACAGTGTCTTGAAATTATAATTTAGTGATACTATTTAGCTTTTGAAATGAAAATGTTCAATTGTGGAAAGTTCGGTAAAAAATTACCGAAGTCGGTAATAATTTGTAAGTGTAGTAAGTCGCACCACAATCCAATAAAACAATCTAACATTTCAAAATATGTCTAGTAACAGGTATTACGTACAGACCGTCCGCAAATGGATAAATCCGGACTTATTCGCTATTATGGCGTACATGCTTTTGTATGCAGACAAACAGATCAATCGCCGATTGATCAAAATGGTAGGGGAATCATTCATCTACCTGATTGTGTTGTTAGTTTCCGAGATTCGGCTGTTATTCGCAAGAAACGTATGGCAATTGACATGTTTGTTTACAAAAGCATGTACGCCCTAATTACGAATCCGACCGGAAATGTAATATTAGGGTGCTTCATGTTGGAAACAATGTTTGCAGCCACCCTTACCCTTTGTGGGTAAGAATCGTAATGATATCAAACTTTTTTTTCATAGCGAACGCATTGGATCAGTTTCAGGTCACATAGGATAAAAAAAATATAAAAATTGGGACCACCTTCTCTGATTTGCAAGAAATTTTACATCATTGTATGTTATGGTCAATCATTCATATTTTTGCAAAAAATTACTATTTTGGATCTTGTAATTTGTTTCAAAATGGCGTCTTTGACATTTTACAATAAATTGGACTTCTGATCGAAATGACATCTGATAAAAAGTTTTTAAGAAAAGTAAAGTCTTTCTGAGAAAAATAGACACGGTACATTTGTTTAGTAATTTGAGTAAAGCTAAAGCTGTATCACTAAATTCTGGAAAAGGGTTAAAAACAGAAAAATCTTAGAAAGTATATCTTCAATATTTATAATTTATTTTTAAAGTCAAGCTCTGTCCACAGCAAACTAGTGGAGTTTTACAAAAATTTACAAAAATCGTAGAACGTCAACTTTTGGTAATAGGCTTCTTGTAAACAAGCTTTATTAAGTAATTTTTTCACAGATATTGGTGTAGAACGTCTCAAATATTGTTTATTGTGTATAAATTACACACTGTTTCCTCTATAAAAAATACCATTTGTGCTTTTCCCAGAAAGAATTTATTTTTCTCTACAACTTTGTATCAGACGTCAGTTCGAGAAATGACGTTTCCGTGCTACAATCTATTGAAAAATAACAAAGACGCCATTATGAGAAAAATTGTAAATTTGTGGCGTGGAACTGCTTATTGATTAAGGGCTGATTACTTTACCCCCGCTTAAATTTTAAGCCGGTTTAGAAATCGACCATAAAAAATGTTTGCGTTTTATTTTGTATTTAATAGGGTGGCAAATGTACCGCATAGCACCGAATTACGGACATTTCATTGTTTACAAAAATACATATTTCGTCTACTTTGCATCATAATACATATGTGTGATGATTCTGAGTGTTTGGATTTAGAGCCTCCTAGAATTATTCGATTAACAACTAATCGATTATTTTTTGATCGCTGTGCTATCATTTTTCCACCAAAGAGAGTGCAGCATATGTTTGAAACGATATGTGATGATCCTCTGGAGAAGTTTATGCATATATCAGCATGATATAACCGATTACAAATATATTACTTTTCTCGGTTCGTTAATCGATTAATCGATTATTCGAATAAAAATCGGCAATCACTAGATGAATGTAAAACGTCATTTCAAATTTAAGGCCGTACATAAATAATGATACAATTTGAAAGGGACCGGGGCTAATCACAAATTACGTTGTTTTTACAGTTGCCACTCTTGCATTTATCGCAAGGATCCGACTCTAATTGAAAGGTCCCGCTATTTATACCCTTCGGAGAGTTGAAACACCCTCCAAAGGCGCGCCCCTTTGTCAGTCAAAATTGGATTCCTTAGCAACAAAATTAAGGAATGACACCGATAATGACCATGCATCAGAACCCTAGTCTTAACCATTTCAAACTAGGGAACAACGAATAGAAGATTAGGAATCACATAGATGAAGACAACTAACTCATTTTTTTTCCTTATTTCAAGATCATCCTCGGTAGACAAGGCCGAGTCTTTTCACTATCAACAAGGCATAAAAAGTAACAAGGACTAAGATGTGTTCCTTGGATTACTGAAAAATCCTGTTCCCCTAGTTTGAAGTAGTCATGACTAGGAATCGGTGGTAGATCTTACATCCCGTAACGTACCACGAAAAGGTGATCTACCCACGTTACGGGGACTGTTGTTGGGTTTATCGATACGTTGTTTGTTTCTTCACCCCCTTCCCTTATTACCTATTTCAATTTTCGAACCCTAAATCTCAGTTTCATTCTTAACTCCGTACGCCGTACGCCAAAATTGTAGATCATTGCTCGATTTTGACAGTTCACACAGGTTTTTGCATACTAGCATAGAACAGAAGAGGAACTTCGGATCAGAAAGTGGCCCCACTTTTCATTGGAGAACACAAGCGCACCTAGCGATAGAAGGTATCTGCTGCCTGCAGTTAAGATAGGAAGCATGATATGATAATGTGAGTGCGCATAGAAAGCCCGCGTGGAACGCTACCACAACGCATCGCTGGTTGAGCAGAAAAACGTACCACTTTTTGATTCACCGATTTGTTTGCACTTCCCCTTCTGTTCTGTGCATACTGTCCGTTATAACCCCCATAGTTAAAGAATATAGCATCTAGGCGTTGTAAAAAAAAATATTAACTTTTTTTAATGCCACTGAAGAACAAAATGATTACACCTTATTTCTAATTTTCAGAGCAATGTACGTGAATATTTCGTTAATTTAAGAGAAAACAATATAAATATACCCACTAAGGGGCGATATATACTTGTTTACTATATCGGTCTCTTTAATTCTGGAAAAGTTGCCAGTCTTCTGGATGAACTGGAATTTCCAATTTATAATGCACTAATTTTAATAAATATGTTTTCATTCTTTCCTTTTGATTCCATACAATAAACATCAAATATAAGCGGTATAATTAGCTAGAAAACAGTAAAATTCTAAGTCACAAATCTGTGTCGCCTTTTATTGTGGGTGAAAAAGTCAACAGAAAACAGTTTTAAAATGTGGCGACATTTTTGGCCCACTACATTTGTAGGGTACCATAAAGTGCCATAATTCTCCTCACCTATACTGCGCAGTTTATTTTCCCATTCTCTGCTTGTCCCCCAAGCAGTTCAGTCAGGTTTTTGCTCGCTCTGTCGAGTTGTTCAATCGATAGTTTGTTCCAAACGTTTATTCGCGTCGTCAGTAGTGTAGGTTAAAGTCTGGCAGATAGAATCTCGGGAACCAATTGAGCTGTGATGGGAAGACAGGATCCGTGAGAAAGCAGAGAAGAACAGTGGTGAGGGTAGCACGAGTGTACCTATTTCAAATAGGTACGCTACTCTTCCTGCCGATGTTGGGAATACCACCTCCGTCACGGTGAAGCTATTCAAGAAGAGGAAGAAAAACTAGGACCAGTCCGATGGTGCGAGTGGACGTGACGATGTCACCGCGACGAACGTCAGCGATATCGGTGATTTGGGCGACGGCATCGACAACGAAAATTCTGCCGACCCGAGTGCGGCAAAAGTGCAGCTACCTCCATTGGTAGTGAAAAATGCCCATCTTAAGGAGCTCATCGCGGATCTAGCGACGCTGGGCGTTAAAGCCGAATACAAGTTGGACAGAGTCGACACCAAGGTAGTGCTCCGTACCAACGCGGAGTATGACTTGGTCGTCGTCTACCTGAGGACTTCCAAGGTGGAATTCTTCACCCACGACATTCCCGGTGAGAAACCGTTCAAGGTCGTCATCAGGGGCTATCAAACTTCGACCCGAAGTTTATCGAAGTTGAAATCAAAGCTGGCCCCAAGTGCCGTCTATTGGATGACATGAAGAGACGAGAATATGAAGGCGTATCCGGATTACCTTTTCTTGGTACACTTTCAAAAGGAAACGGTGACTCCAAACGCTCTGAAAGCCATCCGCTCCATCAATTCCATCGTCCGCTGGGAGCCATACGGTGGCGGCCATCGTGATGTGACTCAGTGCCAACGGTGTCTGAACTTAGGACACGACCATGCCACCTCCGAATGTGCTGCGGATGAAGCTGTGGCGTCCAAATGCGCTAACTGTGGTGATGCTCACCAAGGATCCGACAAACAGTGCCCTAAACGCGAGGATTTCAAGCGCATCCAAAATCAAGCATCCACCAACAATCAACCAGGACGAAGGAAGGATAAGGCCAATGCTTTCAGGGCGGAGGACTTTCCGCCTCTTCACGGGTGCGATCCACCCCCCCCCCCCCCCTCAAAAAACATGACCGGTGTTCTACGTAAGTGCCGCAATAAGCCCGAACAGATCCAAGTGCTCGGTAAGTTCATCATCCAGTATGGTGTCTAAACCACTAACAATCGCTACCTGGAACGCTTCCTCTGTGAGAGCTAAACAGAGTGAGCTTACCGACTTCCTCCGCAAGTATAGCATCGACGAGGGTCTTCTAACCTAGACCCACCTAAAGTCCGGTGACAGCTTCTGGTTGTCTGAACACATCATTATCCGGCTTGATCGCACCAGCTCCAGCGGGAGTGGTGTAGCGGTCATCGTCAGAAAGGGAATGAAGTTCTGCACTCTGCCAGATTTACACGAAGAGGCAGGCATTCCCAAAAATGTTAAATTTACATATGTAGGGGATCGAGGGGCATTGTGAGCAGGTGAAACATAATAAGGCATCCTATACGTTAGTCTTAAATTTCTAATTGTTCAAACAAATTAATTTGTAGTATCTTCAATATAATGTATATTCAATAAGACTTATAAATAGACAGAGGAATCAAGGTTATGCTAAATATTAAATAAATAAATAAATATCCATATGATATTGAACTTGCTACCTACTAATTTGATTTAAACAATTAGAAATTTAAGTCTAAAGTACAAGATGTTCATTATGCCCCACCTGTTCACTATTTCCCTCCTACCCCTACTGTTTCATACATATCTACACTGAGGCAAATAAACGTAAGATTTTCTAAAGGCTCGACTTATGAACAACACATATTAATTTCATAAGCGAGACTTATGAAAGAGTTTCGTCTAACATGAGGTAGCTCTTACACGCCTATAACAATTGCATTATACTAAGCGTTGAAAGACGAGTGGTCAGCATAGAGGTCCCGTAATCTCAACTCCCATGGTTCAGTTCCAGTCAGCTCAGTTTTATTATTTTTAAGTCAAACCTAATTTTTCATTAAAAATCATAAGTAGTTCTAACGGAATTCTTACGTTTTTTTTGCTTCAGTGTACAGTAGTCAAGCACTGGTATCAACTTACAAAAAACAGTCTTAAAAATGTCCATCAGCCAGTCAAATTAAACAAATTCGGGATATTGAACAATTTTGATTTTATGAGGGTTCTGTAAACCATGATTTAGATTTATAGCATGCTTTAAAACCTCGATAAAACTTGCAATGTTACTTGTGTATGAGTGTTTTCATAACACTAAAAACTTTGCGTTTAGGTTCAAGTGTTCCTCGAAGCACTCCCAAAGTTATTAATTAAGAGCTTTCAATGCCAACCTATGAATACATAAATTTGTATATTATATAGCACAAGGACATCTCCTGGGAAGTCGATAAAATTTCCAGCCCGAAAGATTTTCTATGAACCAGATCGAGAATCGGTTGGATAATAGCGTGCCTAAACTGACTATAGTCAGTCTCTATAGGTAAATGTACATTTTTACTGCAGAGATATCACCAGTAAATTGTATGGGGGTCACGACATTTTTCCCGAAATGTTTCCACATAACATTTTCACGACATTTACCACCTCTGCTGAGCCCACCAATTGTCCATGAGCTTCATAAATATAGGATTGTCTAAGTTTAAGTCAAAACTATTATTAATTTACGACTCGTGTCGTTTTTGTTGCCATTGAGGCTTCCTTGATGGACTCAATTGCAATAAACCACACCGGAGCAGCACGCTACATGTCGACAAAACAATACCATGTGCGTGCCAATAAGCAATTAACTTTTGTCGTCAATACCTACTCAGAGTTTTAATTTGCTTTATTCCTTGCAAGCTGGGGGAAAACAGATACGACAGTTCGGATGTTTATTCAAACTTCAACTTCTGTAAACAGTATCGATTTTGCTTCGGAGACGTTTTTTAACCTTGCTTCGTCTAGAATTAGGCATATGTCTTATCGACATTCTCAGGGTCAATGCTCATCAAGTTGCAATTCTAGCATTCCTGCATGCAAAATCGACGTTTCCCATTTGTTGTGAGTAATGACTAATTGGATTAGAAATATGGACAATGTAGACAAAAATAAATAAATAAATAAAAGCTTAAACATGCATGTTTTCATGGTAGGTGAGTAAATGATGTTAGTATGATGTGAATATTACGGAAAAGAATAATTAAATTAAACAGGAAAATTGATCTCACCTTCATCCGCTGTCAGGTCTGAAAACTTGATTCCACCACTGCAAATGGAAATGACAGTCGGAACCTTATCATTCAATTTATGTGCAAGATTCATTTGAAATACGATTATTTAAACAAATGTGAACATTGGAGCCTTAAATATGCAGAATTGATAAACAATAATCGAAACTGAACGACAAAATCTAACTAGGAGGGATTAAAATAGAGATCACTAAACTATTTACATTTTGCATTGAAGATGAAAAAGATACATGCCTTTATACGCACAAAGATAACAAATCTAACTGTATACTATGCATCCGCACTGCCGTAGTATTCGTAAGTGACGCCTTTTAAATCTTATGTTTATGCTCCACTTATGAATATTAGGGTAGCAAGGTGATCTCTACTTATTAATCCCTGTGATAGTATACACTGCAATAAGCTAACGGGTGACAACTAAAGTTTTCAATTATTCTCACTTCGGAAAGTGGTCTATGATCAAAAAGCCAGTGAAGCTAGAAACCTTCAATACTATTCAAATTGATGGTTCACATTTTTTTAATGTTTTACTTATTTTAGTTACTAGAATTCTAAATTACATTCAGACTAACCGGAAAACAAGTTACTTAACTACAAGCTGAAACTATGTTCATACAGTTATCACAAATAATTGAATGTTTTAGTTGCCACCTATTATCTTTCTAGTCACATTATCGCTACTTCATACAAATTTTCTCGAAATTCCAGTCTAGAAAACCAAGTCGATTCTTTTTCAAAAACGTTATGAAGCAGAGATATTGGACAGCATTTAATCATCACAAATAACTAGAAAAATGAAACTTTGCGATATATTCATTCTGATTTACAATTCTACTACTAATCATGTTCACAGGTATTATGAAATCGTACCTGAGGAGAACAGTGGCCGTTTCAGGCACTCGAAACACCTGTAAAAATTAACAAATCGAACAAAATATTCTATAGAACTCTCTATTGTTGCTTTCGTATCTACTCTACTTTCGAAACGGTGAATTATAAGAGATGTTGTATGTTGTAGGTATATCGTAGATTTTGCGATGTTTGATGCTGTGTTCGATTGTGTTTGCCTGGAAACAAACGTCATAGTTATTAACCAACTACGTTCAGACTATAGCTGATATCTTGACATCAAATTGCATATATATGATTTTCTGTGAAATTTTTTCGTATAAGCTTAGCAAACGAATGGCTGAAAGTCTCTTTAATAGTAACCTGAATAGTCTGAACGTACTATTACGTTGCATACATTTGAAATATAGCAATTTCAGAACTCTCAAACAGTTCACCCCAATGGGTCTGGGTTCAATGCCAGCCGAGGTCGGTGGGATTTTTCTGAGGCATAAAAATTTCTGGTCACGTCTTTCTTCGGAAGGGAAGTAAGGCCGTTGGTCCCGGCCCATGTGTGTGTTGAATATGTGCGATATTCTACGCAGGTGTGTGGAAGCTGGGGGCACATTGCGCATCTCGAAACATTTTGTACGAACACTTGTATGAAAAAGTTTTTCGTTTCGAGATGCGCAATGCCGCCCCTGCCTTCCTTGCACATTCGATTGCCGTCATTGGATGGCAATCGATGTCCGTCGGTGATTGGCACTAGATTGCGGAACAGAGACCGACGTTAAATAAAGGAAAGCAAAAGAAGAAGAAGAACTACAAGTCAAGAACAAATTTTCATTACGTCGAAAGTAACAAAGGTAAACAAAGTCGAGCTATCAGTGTCAATCGATGCTCCTGCTATTACACTATATACTGTCCGAATATAGGATCACATCCTATTTTAAAATTTATTTACCACTAAAATTGCTTTTTGACGTAATCACCTCCGATCAAAATATTTTTCGATGAAGTTAAGTCACCCGATTTCTATGGAGATGCTGTTTGTCTTAAGTAAAAGCGCAGGGAAACCCGTTGAAAGTGTACGTTCGTCGTTTCGCTTTCTCATTATTAAAGTGAATAAATCGAACTGTTTGTTACTAAGATGATTTCGGTGGTCCTTAAATGATGAATGGGCTGCACGTAAGGAGACGTGATTGATAATTCTCCCGAATATTCTGGTAAATACACTTTGACTTATGTAACATTAGGGGGCCACCAAACGACGTATAATAACTTTTGACTCAAAAACCAGTATTTTTCAGTATTAAAGCTAGCGATCTGCTTTGTATGATTAAAACCCTGCTTAATATGTTAAACATTGCTATTGCTATCACTATGGGATATATGTGTTTAATTCGAAATAGGAATAACTTTTCAGTCATCAATACAAATCTTTATTTTTCTCGGATCGGTGCGAATGTTACTTTCCATATAATGAAAATTTGCTCTTGAAGTATTGCATTCATTACTGACAATATTTTAGTAATTTTAGAGGAAAAACTTTTCTTCGCATTGTTTAGTACATTGTGGTATTTATAAGTTATACCAAGCACTTGTTTGAACATTTTTCAGGTTCTATAATTGTTTTTGTCTACCAGAAGCTCCTTTATCGACATGAAATTTTTCACTTCTGAATGAAAGTCATCCGATGCTATCGCAAAAAATCTAGTTGCCGTTTACTCTGACGAAAAATAAATCACAAACAGTGCTGCTTGTTCGCAACATTTTCCCTTGGCGGGACTCTTATTATAACATCTACTCTGCTTTTTCTAGCTCTGTATTGATATGTGAGATGAATCAAGAGCACAATACACACTCACAGTAATCACAAAAACTGTTTTATGACTATAAAGTACGCATTTTTGAAAGAAAACGGGACTACCCATAAAATGACTAAAATTTTACACATTTATGTGTAATTGCTAGTACAAAAATGAATAAAATTTATGCATTTATGAGTAAGAGATACTCATAAAAGGTATTAAAAATACACATATTTTAGGTGTAGTCCCGTTTTAGCCGAATATGCATACTTTATAGTCAAAATTTAATCCTTTATAGTCATTTTTGCGTATTTAGCAGTTTCCGTACACAGCGAAAAAATACTACCCAAAATTAAAGTTCTTTTTAGTCAACATTGAGTTCAGCCTCTCACTTGCAATCTTTATGGTTTTCAAAACAGGAACGAGTGATTCGACCCAACGATATAGTTCAACCCAATAAGTTACTTTTGAGTAAATTGCATATTCTCAAATTTACGTGAATTAAACTTAATTTTGGGTAGAATATACTTAAGAGTAGGTTATTTTGTTTGCTGGTGTTAAATGGAAACTACTAATTATGCGATTTACTCAAATTTGGGTTATTGGGCTGAACCCCGGAATTGAGGGAAAGTACTTAATTTTGGGTAGTTTTTCATCTGTGAATGATGTATAGACGAGTGCACGGATGGATTTTAGTTCACTCATTCGACAAAAAATGACACAACAGCGGGGCCCTGTTTACTAAAAATGAACACATGAATAATACTCACGTAACATTTGAAACCGGCCTATCAACTTTCGTACACAAAACTTGTTAAGCCTTTTTCGCGCGAACCGAATACGCCCACGCAAACTAACAACACCATCGGGTAGGGTAAATTATCCCCTTCCCGATAGTGCTCTTGGTTTGCGTGAGCGTACTTCAGTTCTGGTGAAAAGGACCTAGCCAGTTGTTTACAAAAGTTGATAGGCCCTTTTCAAATGTTACGCAAGCATTATTCATGTGTTTATTTTTAGTAAACAGGATCCCGCTGCTGTGTCAATTTTTGTTCAGTAGATGAACAAAAGTTCACCCGTGCACTCGTCTATTGACCAATGCACGGAATGAACTCACGAAAAAATTTGACTTTTGAGCGGTGCCGTGTTTACTAAAAATGAACACATGATGTAATGCTCGCGTAACTTTAGAATACCCACGCAAACCAAACCACTATCGGAAAGGGAAGAATTCACCCTACCCGATGGTGTTGTTGGTTTGCATGGGCGTACTTTGGTTCGCGCGAAAAATGTCTAACAAGTTTTGTGTACATAAGTTGATAGGCCATTTTTAAATATTACGCGAGTATTATTCATGTGTTCATTTTTAGTAAACACGGCACCGCTCAAACGTCAAATTTGTTCATGCAGTTTATTCCGTGCATTGGTCAATACCGCAAATATGGACCAACAAAAAAAAAACATTAAATTTTTCGTAAAAAGTATTTTTTTTTTTTATTTGATATTTGGATCTTTGAAATTAGCCCAGTGGTTTAAAAGTTATTTTTAAGTCATTTTTGAAAAAAAATGATTTTTTTTACCATTCTAACATGGAAATGGTCACCCTATTGACAAAAAAAAAATACGACTCTAATATTTTGCGATGAGGGACATAACTATCAATTTTTACGAAATACTGAGAACCACTATATCGTTTTGCTATGGAATGGCTGTATATATATACAGCTGTATACACAACTGTAACTTAAAAAGTTTAGCTAGCTTGTACGGAAGAGCTATCAGCTTAGGTACCATCCCATCTGAATGTTTATAGACGTATTCTATGGCACGACTGTTAACTCAGAAACGTTTGCCAAAATACAAACGAACACAGCTTTTCACCGGAGAGATGTTCGGCAAAATGTTTGCGACTGCCGCAAACGAGTAAATCTCATGAAACTTGTTGTGATGATATACGAACACAAAAATAGAACAATTTACAATACGGACAACAGACTGAGCGAACATCTCATTTTGCTAAAGGAAAAATACCGCGCATCTCTTCTACATCCCGCTAGTACTAGGAACGATAAATACTTGAAATAACGGCAGTAGAGAAGATATAGGCACAACTCAGAGTTATTCTCATCATGATGTCAGCGTCAACTTACCTTCCACCCAAGGTTCTCGAAGAAGGTGCACAACCGCGCCTGACCGGTCGTTTTACCGCCGCAAGGCCCTGGAAGAAGATTGGCGAAAATAAAGAATGATTAATCCCCATTACTAAAGCAACAAATATTTCAAAATCACTAGATCCTGAGTAAGGTTGAACAAGATTCTTTTTTTATTATATATGTATTGTCTTTTACATAACGTTCCTGCAGACAACACAGGAATATGTTCAAGGGTAAAGCACAAATGCACAATAATTATCTATACATACATAGATAATCTTTGTAGAACTTCGCAAGTCAATAAATGTAGTACTGGGCAATGCAATTTTACAAACACACATGTTGCACATGGCCACTTGGTAATGAGCAGATGTTCATTCCTGCTCTGCCTTTACCCGAGACAAACCAACGGTGTTCAGTAATGTAAAGCATCAGTCACATGAGAACTTTTCCATTTTCCATAAATAAAGCAATACCTACTCGTTGTGAGTCAGTTTACCTCACCACATTGAAAAGATTAAGATAAATATTGCGCACTTTACAACGCAAGATACACTGCTTACCTCCAGTCAGGACCAATTTATAAACCTTTTTCCCCTCTGCGGATCCTTCCATGGTAGTTTTCATTATCTTTAGGGGAGAACCGAAAGTGATAACGCGATTAACAATCGTATGTTTACGATATTCACAGATTTTTCACCAAAATAAAAACTCAGTCGTACACGTTGTGATGAAGCCTACGAAGTGGTCTACTCGCTGTTAGTTGCTGATTTTGACGATGGATGGTTTTCCTGATGCTGTTTGATTACCGGAGATTCGTTTTCACGGTTCTCAGAAGCGATGTTTGATGTTACTACTTCCTAGCTTGCTTAACCAAACTTAACACAATTCGAACACTACTTTACACTGTTGAGGATTGATTTAATTATCAAATAACTTGGTATATATACATTTTTGCAGATTTATTTTTAGGTATTTTTTTCATGAGAAAAACGTGTCCAATCCATGCGACTTTTCACTGCCAAATGAGACCGAGTTGTCAAACACCGAACCGAACTGGCGGCAGCATCGATTTTTTATTATTTTCATTTGATGAGTCAACGTTGGCACTCTTGCACAGTAGATGCTTCGAGTGCATGTCCGCTCATTTCATTTAAAAACAGTAAATTTTTGAAAAGTTATTTATTTGGGTTTTTATTTTTGAATCTACGATATTTAATATGGGTTTTTGTACAAAACTCAGATTTATTAAATAAACTTACTTTTTCTTATTTGGCTGGGACTTTTCGGCGACTTTCAACTTAGACTGTGTTCCATTTGGTGAATTTTAACTTAAATTTTACAAATCGAAAATAAATTAAAATGTTCGAAAATCCTTCTGTTGTTGATCGGCCAATTTTCGTGCAGGTGTTTGTCAATGTTGTTTGGTGGAATATCATGTTCCATCTGTCAAATGTCACCAAATGGATCAAAGCCATAGTGTTCGTTAAGCAATTCCACAGTTGTTAATTGAGAGCTTTCGAAGCCTCTGTTAATAAATTTACTGGCAAAATATAATTTATTTCTCAAGAACATATAAAAAAAAACAAAATCAAAGATACATGAAATTTCAATGATCCCATCGAGCAAATGCCTCGAAACGAAAAATATGTTCATAAGCCTTTTAAATATTTGATCCCCAATGCGCTTCTATCGAAATAATGGAGTGGAGTAAAAAAAAAATTTCTTTTAAGCTCTAGATAAAAAAACAACTACACGTTTTGAAATTTAAATTTGTGTATGTTGAAATTCATGAAATTACTACCGAATAAATAGTAAAAGTTTTTGTCAACAGCATTAAAACCCGAACAACCAATGAGCCGAAGAGCTACGTTTCATGGATTCTTTGAACGAATTTTAGAGGAATTCCCGCTTCCAGTAAGCTACTTTTCGATTTTCGAACGATACTGGGACTGTAATGCTGCAGAGCTTCCCAGCATATTTCACTTAGTTTCGGAATAGTCATCCAAGTTTTATACACAACATTGGTTCGGACGTTATTGTTGAAGCTAAATTTTATGCCACCAAAGATGTACATGCACCCAGCAATGCTAGCGGCTGCGTCGTGAAAGAATAGTGGATAAGGTAGCCCCGACTTTTGCATCAGGCGCCACTCAAATGTGGAGAGATTCAATTTCCAAATGTCCTTATAATATGATCGACCATCATATCCGCCAGCAACCACAACCTCCATTCCGTTATCAGTCTGATACTGAACACAAGAGTGACACTTTCTAGCCGCCGGAACACCCGGGCGAGGCAAATTGGTGTCGGGCTTAGTTTCTGTGTATGTCCACACGTTTCTTTTCAAATGATACGTCGGAATGGACGATAAGCTGAAAGCCGACTCGCTTGTTCCTCCACCAATAATGTAAATCCTTTCCCCGTCGAAGGCAAGCTCGTGCCGATACCTTCCAGGGGGATCATCACCAATATCCTGTCGACAAGCATAGGCACATTCCCATGTTTTAGATGCAACATTCAACCTGAAATAAACTCACATTTATGTCTACCTATCACATCAACACAACTCACTACATTACCTATAAACATCACAGGTGTAGTTAAAGCCCTCGGTTCCTCCAATGGTGTAGAGAAAACCGTCATGATAAAGAATTGTCTGACCATACTGTGCAGGTGGGAGATCACCCTTGACGGCTATCTCAGTCATTTCCTTCGGTTTCCTTGCGGGCTGACAGACATACAATCGATTCGAACAATTTACACCGAACGGAAAACCTGTACCTCCGAAGAGCTAATTAAAAACAAATATTTCAGTAAATCATTGTTGCAAATCAGATGCTTCATTTCATTTACTATCAATGTATCTCCGTGCAAAATCATCGCGTTAGATGCTAGCTCCTGCGGTAGGTCATTGCTGGGATCCATGATTAATGTCCATTCATTTTTTAATAAATCATACTTCCACAACTCTTGAAACAACGAAGAAGCATCATCGTCATCGTTAACCACTGCCATATTCGGATTGAATCCCCCAAAGCAATAGAGCGCTGAATCGCTACAAACGATCCTGTGACCGCTTCTGGCGTACGGCTTGGACTTTTCGTGTCCAGTGTTTGTGTTGCTTCTATGTTTGATCTGCTTCACTTCAAAAGGCCGAAATCTATATCCATCGTGAGCTTCAGCAGTAGAATTGTTTTCCCCACTCATGTCCTCGGCACTTACATCAACGACCTCGCGAAGGTGTCGAAGTCTGGGCACGTTGAAAAACTTGTTCAAGACGTCCAATATACGAGCAAAAACTTTGTATACCAATAAAATGAAAATTCTCATTACTTCCGCGTCAACAGCACGCTATGATAACATTTCCTGACAATTTAACGTTGCTTACTATAGGGCGAGTATTATAAAGTAACGCGAAAAATTGAATTGAAATCCCAAAAATATATGTATTTTCCAAAACGACTGAAAAGATCCAAGAAGAGTGAAAATATACTGACACGGACAATTGACGTTTTTAACTGAGATTATTTTGACCGTTTGACGTTTTGTTCACAGTAAAAATGTCCTAATCCGGAAATTATCTTATTCCAGTACAGCCCTGAATTTTTATGGCATGAAAAGAGTCTGTGTTCGATTTAGGCTCTGAACCATTTTGGTGGATTATTTTAACTTTTAGTTAAAATTTGACAAATGGAAAGTTATCGATGAACCCTGCTATCCGAGCTTTGTTATTCCTGACAGACAAGAAGTTAAATTTTGAGAACCGTGGGTTGAAAACCGGTCGATCGACAGCACGAGGATATTCGAACATAGAAAATAACTTTCGAAATGTCACCATTTGGTGAATTCAGGCATAACATTTGATAACGGCACAAAAGCATTTGTAAACAAACTTTCTAAGACCCTTTACACGCGAACCAAAGTACGCCCACGCAAACCAATACCACTTTCGGAAAGGTGATAGTTGTCCCTATCCGATGATGTTGTTGGTTTGCGTGGGCGTACTTTGGTTCGCGTGTAAAGGGCCTTAGAAAGTTTGTTTACAAATGATTTTGTGCCGTTATCAAATGTTATGCCTGAATTTTCACTTAAATTTGACAGATGGAAAATTTTCAAATAAACCTGCTATTCGAGCAGACTTATTTCTGATAGATCAGGACTCAATTTTGACAAACACCTTTTCGAATATCGGACGATTAGCAAGAGAGGGATTTTCGAAGAGTACCTATAATTTATTTTCGAAGTGTCAAATTTAAGTGAATATTCACCAAATGGAACACAGCCCTAGAGGGCTTTAGTTTTAACGTACAAACTATTTCAAAATTATCCAAATTTCGGTAGAATCCACCTAGATCGCTCAAAACTAAACCTACCTGTCGTGTCCGGGCACGCTTTCAATTTGCCAGTCGACAATCTCGGCCATGGTGACTGCTGATACGCTGGATCCTGTCCACACCGTCTCGGAGTGCAACTTGAATTCGATGTGAATAGAGTAGCATCCAATAGCAGCAATAACCGCGAGCAGTGCCGCGCATCAAATCAGCGAGAGGACGCCTTCCAGCAGCAGCAATAACCGCGAGTAGTGTCGCGCATCGAACAGAGAGAGAGAGAGAGCAAACGGCAGCAAGACCACGACCCGTTGCCGTGAAACGGAGCGGTGAACCATCGGTTGCGAGAGAGCGCCTTCCAGCAGTAACCACGAGCAGTGTCGCGCATCGAATCAGCGAGAGGAGGCCTTCCAGCAGCAGCAGTAACCGCGAATAGTACCGCGCAACGATCCAGCGTGTTCAACAAACAGCCTTTTTCAAGGCTAACAGTTGGTTTTGAATTTTCACATCGAATTCAAGTTGCACTCCGAGACGGTGTGGACAGGATCCAGCGTATCAGCAGTCACCATGGCCGAGATTGTCGACTGGCAAATTGAAAGCGTGCCCGGACACGACAATGGCGCAGCTTTGGATGGAACAGCAGCTCCCGTAAAGTAAGTATAAAAAAAAAAAAAAAAAAAAAAAAAAAGCATTTGATCTAGAAAACAGAACAGACTTCGATGGAAATAGGCGAAGTACTGCTAGAGCAATCTTAAACAAATTTAAGTGTTTCATGAGCTTCGGTGGATATAGACGAAGCTCAAATGATGTTATGTCTCTGTAGATAAAGACAGAGTTGTTGATTCATACAACTGATGTGAATAGAGTAGCATCCAATAGCAGCAATAACCGCGAGCAGTGCCGCGCATCAAATCAGCGAGAGGACGCCTTCCAGCAGCAGCAATAACCGCGAGTAGTGTCGCGCATCGAACAGAGAGAGAGAGAGAGAGCAAACGGCAGCAAGACCACGACCCGTTGCCGTGAAACGGAGCGGTGAACCATCGGTTGCGAGAGAGCGCCTTCCAGCAGTAACCGCGAGCAGTGTCACGCATCGAATCAGCGAGAGGAGGCCTTCCAGCAGCAGCAGTAACCGCGAATAGTACCGCACGCAGAGAAAATATTTTTGAACATAGCAATATTCAGTATAGTTTCAACAAAAAAGTTGTATTATCTCCCGGCTTATAAAGCAATATCTTTGGTTCAACAATAATCATGCTTTCGTTTCAACAATATTTATTGTTGAATTCAAAAGTGGGATGACACGACCACGTAACAATAATTTTTTTAAAAACAAAAATGTTTTTTTGAGAAACAACAATATCTGGTGTTTAAAAGGAACAGAGCTAATTTTTGGACCCAAAATGCTTATTTTCTTGGTTTAAATAAAAATTTATTTAGCTCAATAAATGAATATGGTTGTATTTATAATTCGTGGTATTTTCTTGTTTTATTTTTTAAATAAGTGAGAAATTGTTTTGATGCGTATATTATGTCATAATTGCTTCAGCTCACAAGCTCTATCCAGAAGTTCCGACGATGACAGCTTAGAGAAACGGGTTTTGAACTCGTCAACAACGATGTGGGTGACACTTTTTTTGTCAGATCTGGAGAGGAACGCGGTTTTGCTGTACTTCCTTAGGATGGCTTGCCCTTTCGATGACGCGTTCAATAAGAAGGTGGCAGTACAGGCTTCTCGAGACACTTGAGTCTCTTCAGAGGGCCGCGCGTTGTTGTCTCGGGTCACAGATGAATTGCAAGTAACGGGTTGTTCGCTGACTTTTGAAAGCCCCTGTAATCAAAGGGAATAACTAGTTAGTTGCACTATACAAGAATGATTTGATGATAATTTACCTGTGCCTTCCTCCAAGAGTCCAATTCATGAATGAATCTGGTTCGCTCAGCAAGAAACGGCGAAGGAAGGAGTTCCTCAATTTCCTTCCTCTGTATGATTTTCAATGTTTCGATGGTGTAACAATTAAATGCAATAATAATGTTAGGATACCGTAACTGAATAAAAAACGATACTACCTACCGAGAAACGCTTCAATAACTCGTTCGGACATTCCATAATTATTCAATAAATGTATCAACTCGATTTCTTCAACCGACACCTTTTCTACATCCAGTTCTTCAATAATTATTGGATTATCAGAACCGGAACACATTTTGATACGCAAAACTTTACTGGCACGTGAACAAAATGGCGAAGGACGGGTTCGGTTTCTAGCTTCTCCACACTGAACAAAAAATATAATTCAATCAACAATCATGGTACCTGAATTAATTTTATGTTGCCCTTGAAATAAACCATGCGTTTTGTTAAATCAACAATTTTCATGCTTTGGAAATTTGAGCAAGAGAATAAAAAATAATATTGTTATTTTAAAAAAATTAAAGATGTTTGAACAAAAATACCCCATTGAAACAATAATAAGGCGATCGTTGAGCACAACAATATTATTTTTTGTTTTAAAACATCAAAAATTCTCTGCGTGCGCGCAACGATCCAGCGTGTTCAACAAACAGCCTTTTTCAAGGCTAACAGTTGGTTTTGAATTTTCACATCGAATTCAAGTTGCACTCCGAGACGGTGTGGACAGGATCCAGCGTATCAGCAGTCACCATGGCCGAGATTGTCGACTGGCAAATTGAAAGCGTGCCCGGACACGACACTACCCAAAAATGGGTAAACTATGTTGGAAGTGATAAGTTGACAAATGAACAAAGTTGATCGGATTCTTGTCACTCCCAACATAGTTTACCCGTGTTTGGGTACCCTAATAAAAATAACCATAAAAGAGAGCTTAACGACGTGTTCGGGGTATCATTCAAACCATTTGTGGGATAGTTTATCCCAGCCCAGTGGAAGGCACGTAGGCAACCCCGCATAAACGCGAACCATCACATGACCTTACCGATAATGGTTATAAATTGTTTATAATCCCTGCTAAACTTCAACTGAAATGGTTATGGAACTTTACATGAACGTTTGTGTGATAAAGTTTTAACCTTATGTATTATGGTTTTTTGGAAGAGGACCTTACAAACCATTACCATTCCAAATTCTTGTTTTCTCCATACATTTTCGGAAAGAGAACTATATTAGAACGTTTTTACTTATGGTTTGAGAACATTAATGGTTATGGTTATGGTAGTCAGTAAGGTCCATTAATGGTTTTGTATTATCGCTCAACTTTACGTGAAATATATCGTGAATTGGTAATCAGTAATTTACAAGCAACCAATTCGCGATATATTCCACTTAAAGTTGATCGATGTTACAAAAACATTCATGGACCTTACTGGTTACCATAACCATTACCATTAATGTTCTCAAACCATAAGTTAAAAGGTTTTAGTATAGTTTTCTTTCCGAAAATGTATGGAGAAAACAAGAATTTTGAATTGTAAAGGTTCTTAACAACCCATTATTTGTAAGGTCCACTTCCAAAAAACTATAATACTTAAGGTTAAAACTTTATCATTAAACGTTCATGTAAAGTTCCATAACCATTTCAGTTGAAGTTTAGCAGGGATTATAAACAATTTATAACCATTATCGGTAAGGTCAATTTATGGTTCGCGCTTATGCGGGACATGTTATACGGTGACAGCGGGCCCAGCACAGCAAAATAAATGATTTGAGCCCGGGACATGCTGCCTACTGTCAAACGCTGCTGTTGGTATAGGCCTTGTCACTGGCCTGGTTTACCCATACAGTTCGTTTATGGTATTCATTTATTAGCGTAGTTTTAGTTTTGACCGATCTGGGTGGATTCTACCCAAATTTGGGAGATTTGAAATAGCGTGCATATTACGCTGCATCCCTGTGGTGTGCCATAATCAAAGTAATGCTATAAATAATAATTTCAAATATATGTGTTTACGTCAAAACGTCATCCTCCATTTTTCGATTCGACAGCGGACTGGGCGTGTGCCTGGCAGAATGTTTGGTTTTCAAAAGTAAAAATTCGATATATTTGCTGCATTTCTTCCGAACATTTGGCAAATTCATCCTTCAATGATGCAGCCTCTTATTTTCTACGCGTTTCTGTTAGCGTTTGCCGGTTTTATCTACGGTAAGTCCCTATTTTTCGTAATTTTCTGGTTGGCATAGATAAGTTTAAGTCGGTTTCCCAAACGGATAGCTGAAGGCTCTATAGGTACCATTATAGTTAGTAGCATTATTCTCTATTATTTAGCTAATTATTGTTTATTTTGGAATGATGTGGAAAAATTATGTTTTTATAATTTTTGGAAGTGATTAAATTATTTTTGTTAATGACACCTGTTTGAATCACATACTCAGTTGGGCGTCAGACGGTTTTATGTGCTAAGGTGGTAGTGAAAAGTACATTCAATGTTACCACTACAAGCTTATACGTATATACATCATTGTTTATAAACAAAATGATGATTCACATCATGGCTTTTTTTTTCTTTGGATTTGTCTTTGCAGACAGGTTAAGACCATGACTGGTCCAGGTCCATCTCGCCCCTCAGGTGGTTTGCAATTAGCATTACGCTGATAAAATGTATCATTACATATTTCTTTCAGGTCAGCACAATTTTGATAATGTGGAGCTAGGAACGGAGATGGTATGGTGCGCCTCAAGTGAGGTAGAGATGTACAAGTGTCGTAACTTCACAGTTGCACTAGAGCGAGACCAGGCACTGTTTGACAATTACTTCCTAAATGTATCTTGTTACTTTGGTTTTGACCAGGACGAATGTATGCGACTTATAGATGAGGGCAAAGCACATGCAATGATGCTAGATGCCGGAGAAGTCTATACTGCCGGTCGACACCATTCGCTGGTTCCCATTATGCAAGAAGGGTATGACGGAGGATTTACGCAATATCATGCAGTCGCAGTTATTAAAAAAGACAGTCTGAGAGATGTTACTAACTTGAGACACCTAAAGGGAAAGAAAGCTTGCTTCGCCTGGGTTGGAAGTTACGCAGGCTGGATTGTTCCCATTTATACGGTAAGTTCATAAGATTGCTTTCACTAAAGATATTTTTCAGCAAAAATGGTCTATTCTAGTTGCAACGTGAGGGGGGTATGGACATAACAGATTGTAACAATCATGTTAAAACGGCTACTGACTATTTTGGCCCGTCTTGCGCTGTTAACGCTTTAGTAGACAAGTACAATCCAATTGGAGACAATTCGGACAAGTAAGGTAATGTGTATGCAAACTCAAAACGTAAAATTAACGATCCTCTTTTTAGATTGTGTTCGCTTTGTACAGGAAAGGTTCCGGGCGGAAAGTGTACACCATCTGACCCTTACGCAGGCTTTGAGGGAGCTTTCCGTTGCTTGCTGGAAGCGGGAGATATTGCTTTCCTAAAACATACCACCGTAAATGAGATGGTAGAAAGTGATTTAATTCATGGTGTCACCGCCGACCAATTTGAGCTGCTCTGTAAGGATGGAACGAGGCAACCGGTATCCGAATATAGGCAATGTCATTGGGGAATGGCTCAATCCCATGCTTTAGTTGTGTCTTCTGCTAGGACAACTGCAGAACGACGTCGGTACAAGAAATTTTTCACTCAAGCAGTTAATTTGTATTCAACGAAGTCGAAACGTTCGAATAGCACTCTGAACTCAGCGGATGATCGCCAGCGCAATCAAAATGATCGTTTCAACTCCAACAACCGATATGATAGCGGACGTTCCGATGATCGCTTCAATCGCTTCACAACAACCACAACAGAACGTTACAGTTATGGTGTTTACAACGATGATCGCAACTTTAGTGATCAAAATGAAACACAATTTTACGAAAAATTTAACTTGTTCGAGTCTAGACGATATGGCAAACAGCTTAATCTTATGTTCCAAGATACGGCTCGCTATCTTGCGCCTATCGAGGAAAACAATCAAAATTTCCAATATTATTTAGGAAGTGGCTTAGATTACATCTACGGTGTCCGATCGTGTCCCGTCAGTCGAATGACTTTGTGTGTAACTTCTGAACCAGAGATGGAAAAATGTATAAAGATGAGAGTAAGTATTTTTTTTTACATTTGAATCATAGCAGTGGCAATAAACAATATCTTCGATTCCAGACTGCGTTGAAAGCACAGCTCATAAAACCGGAAATGTTGTGCTTTAAGGCTCATTCTCATATAGACTGCATGCGTCATGTAAACTCAGGGCAAGCCGATGTAGTCGTCCTGGATGCCAGTGATGTCTATACCGGTGGTCTAAAGTATGATTTGCTCCCCTTCATGTCTGAAGTGTACGATCTCGGGCAACCCGAATACTACGTCGTAGCCGTTGCAAAGGAAGAAGATCCCGATACTGAACTGACGTACTTGAAGAACAAGTACACATGTCACTCGGGAATCAATACTGCCGCCGGGTGGATATACCCAATGGCATACCTGATTTCGAACGGATGGATTCGTCCATACGGCTGTGACAGTATTCGTGCAGCAGCCGAGTATTTCACCAAATCATGCGTTCCGGGAGCAATAAGTAATGAATACAATACAGGAGTGCCTTATGATAACTTGTGTGACTTGTGTCATGGAAGTAGTTTCCGTTACTGTCGACGAGATGCTTCCGAAGATTATTACGGTAATACCGGTGCCTTCCGTTGTCTGGTGGAAGGAGGAGGCCACGTAGCGTTTGTGCGGCATACAACTGTCGTTGAAAACACCGGAGGAAAGAAACGCGAGTGGTGGGCCAGAAATACGCTTCCAGATGACTTTGAGCTGCTCTGCCCTGACGGTACCCGTGCAGAGGTGAACGAGTATAGAAAGTGTAATTTGGGAAAAGTAAAAGCAAACGCTATCGTGACCAGAGGTGGTCACAACTATAACGCTACTCAACTGAATGCCTTCATCAATCTTTTAACCTACGCTCAGCAATTTTACGGCCGAAGGGATGCTGATGAATTTAGGTAAGTTATCATTATTATTGGCAGCCACTTACGTTCTACAATTTTCTATCGACGCATTCGCTCAGCATTCCTGATTCAGTTGAGAGGCTATAAAACGCAAATTACCCAAATTACATACTTGTATTACTTAGTTTCACATTTGGCAAGTTATAGATTGAATAACACTTATTTTATCAATAATTCTAAAATTGACGAAAATATAGGATTGAAAGATAATTTCATAATTTTTTTTATCTAAACATTACCA